AACCACACAACAACAACAACAACAACAACCATAACCACAACAACAACAACAACAACGGCAACAACAACAACCATAACCACAACGACAACAACAACAACAGCAACAACAACAACCATAACCACAACAACAACAACAGCAACAACAACAACCATAACCACAACCACAACGACAACAACAACAACAACCATAACCACAACAACAACAACAACAACAACAACAACCATAACCACAACAACAACAACAACAACAACAACAACAACCATAACCACAACGACAACAACAACAACAACAGCAACAACAACAACCATAACCACAACAACAACAACAACAACAACAACAACAACAACAACACAAACCATAACCACAACGACAACAACAACAACAGCAACACCAGCACCCTTTCCCATTCTGAAAACTCGATTTCCCTGCCAGGAGTTGGAGGGTCAAATGGCCCAGGCCGCAGCACAGCTGCAAGGTCTCATGAACGCGGTGTCGGCAGGGGCGCTTCAGGGCGCCGGCGGCAACGGGGGAGGTGCCCTGGCCATGGCATAGCTGTTGGCGCTAGGGATGGGGATTTAAGGCTGGATTCAAATGGCTGTTGAATTTGAAGTCATAGAGTCATTTGAAGTTATATATATATATATATAAAAACAAATTAACGGAGTGAATCTCTATGAAATCTGGGTGGTATGGATCAAGGCTGGGAGATGACTGCCAAAAAGAGCCAAACCCTGGGCCTTGAGAAAATCGGGAAGATTCTTGAATCTTGTAACAATCTAGTCTACTAGTAAGTGGATAGTAAGTGGATGATTCAATGGCAGGGATATGTTGGGATATGCCCAATTAATTCAAGTATGAAAGATGCTGCAAGGGTGTATGATGGGTGAAATGCAATTCCTTGTTGATATGTTGATCAATTCTTAAGTCCCGGGTGAAATAATGTTACATTTTTCTTGTTGGCTAAATCCCCGTCTATTGTTTCTCAAATTACTCTTCGCCCATTTCTGCTGATGCGTTCCCCATTTCTTGATTTTTCTTGTTGGTTAAACCATATGAGGCCACACACTTTAATGATGCAACTCCGCCACGACTCATTTTGTATGAGTTACATCACGGAACATCAATTTTTTGAGTGATGAATTTAAACATCTATGGAACCCCCAAGTTGTGCTTATTAAAGAACCTACTGTATTCCTAGTGGCTTAAACCACAACCTTCCCCTCCAAACGTCGGTCCCCAGGCACTGGTGAAGCTGCCATGGGCGCCGCGGCGGTCGCCGCCTCAGCGTCGGCCAACCTGGAAGTGCTACGCGCGGGGCTGGAGCGCGAGGCGCAGCAACGGGTGCAGCTGGGGGCGGAGACGGCGGAGCAGCTGAAGCAGATGCTTGGACCGCTGCAGTCGGATGGTTGGGATGGTAGGGATGGCTGGATGGCTGGTTTTATATTTTTTGACTTTCCAACTGCCGATTTTGATACGATTATTTGATGTATTATGGGGATGTTGATGGAGGACCTGATGGTTGGAGTTGGAGGATTGGATAATTTTATAATATATGGGGATGTTGATGGGATATAGTTTATTTGTATACGATATTTTTTGTGAAATGATGGGAATTGAGGGATTCAACCGTGAACACTTGAGGGTTTTACCTACTGTAACGACATTTAAATATGTGGATGGCCGGCCAGACCGCGAGGCCCAGGAGGTAGTATAAAATACCAGTTCGTATATTTTACTGTAGTTACCGTATGTTTAAATGAATTGGATGCCATATGTTTAAATGGCCGGGCGGGCCAATGAAAACCTTCCCGGAGGTAGTCTAAAATATTTAAATGTAGTTACCGTAGTTACCGTAATTTAAACACGAAATTGGGATTTGATATGACGGAAGCAGATGAAAAACCAATCAGCCAATGGACAAGCAAAGTTTGGGATGATGATGACTGGATGGGATAGATGATTTAGTTTGGGGATATTATCTATGACATTCTACAATATTCGACAATTAGCATATAGGTATATATAGTGTGTATATATTATATAGTACTATATATATATATATGTTGCACACACAACACACATATATATAATATATATATATATATACATAATATTCTTTGGAACATAGCTTTAATGATTTGGAGGGAGGTAGTAATGTGTCCAATGATGACCGATGGTAGTTAATGACATGTATACACAGGATGAATTACACATTATACACTTAAGTCATTCGGATAGGAGAATTGTTTCCAATGATTATAGAATACGAGGATCACACTGATGATATGAGTATGTATATTGGATACTGAAATTATTCACAATATTCATGATGATTATTTGGGTCGGGGTAGGAATTTCAGCAACTACTAGTAATTGTGAAGAATTGACTCCATCGACTGGACGGTTTATGATTGCTTGTTGAACTTCCAGTTTTATGAGTTTAAAACATACCTGTCATTGTTGTTGGTTATATCATAACTTTTGATTGACTGAATCAGTGGCACCACAAGTCGTTATTATCTCAAGTCGAACAATACTACCATGCTCATTTCGTCATGTGGGTATGGTCAAAGTACTTACACATTTAAGGCCCAGGGGACAACAAAATGACTAAATTTGAGTTTATCATTCCGTCGTGAGTATCCAATTCTGATCCATACCCATATTATGTCTGAGTGAAAATAGAATACCCCCAGGTCCTATGATACATCATTTTCTCCCTAGCTATTTCATGGATATTCCTCATTTTCAGCACACCAACATATCATGTTGCTGCTCATATCCCATTATATCCCACCAAAATCATCCTAAATCACCATGTTGATTTTTGATGCTCAAATCCCATATCAATTTGTCAATCATCATTTTATGAATTTGGCGGTATCCGTCATGTTCAGACACCTCCATATCTTTTCTGTCTCTGGATCGAAGCCAAGGCTCAGCGACATGGTCTACGAGCTGAACAGCCGGCAGCAGCAGCAGCAAAGCTCGCAGCAGCAGCAGTTGCAGCAGAACGCAGTGCAGGAAGAGAAGGCTCGGCACCGGGAAGTGGGCGATGTTGCCAGACTTGGCATGAATTTGGCTAGTTGTGGTGAGATTCTATGGGGTCATCTCCAATAATCTCCAAGAATTTTCATCCTCAGATGGATATGAAGGGTGACATCACCCACTTCTATCCACTTCTGGGGCCGCCCTGTTGGCACCGGGGCCACCGGGCCGCAGACAGCCCGCAGGACCTGGTTCGTTCGGAGGCGCGCTTCGCGGCGCTGGAGCCCTCGGTGTTGCAGCTGCGGGAGGAGCTGGAAGAGATGCGGAAGATGCGCCTTGGGAACGAAACGGAGGAGTGTGGACATTTTATATTGGATATCTATGGTATATCTATGGTATATCTATGGAAATTATATCTATGGTATATCTATGGTATATATAGATAGATAATGATCTATATCTATCTATATCTATCATTACCTATCTGCCATTATCTATCATTTTATACTAGACTATATCTATCTATATCAAACTGGGCCGAGATGTTGAACGTGGAGGACTCTCAAAAACGAGTATGTATCATTATCTATCTACTATGTATATATATATATGTATATATATATATATGTATATATATATGTATATATATATATAAATAATGTATATCTAAAATGTAATGGGATGATGATGGGGATGATCTTTGAAGTTTTTTTTGCCAATCATCCGAATTATATAGATTTATAATATCATATCTTGAATTGGATGATGAGATTGAACTATGTAATACTACATTACTATATCTGAACACACATATATATATATATCACTAATAGTATCACTCATATCTTAAGATAAATTAGTAGAGGGTAATCAGGATGATGATTTGCCTGATCTCATGAGTTGGATGATGAGATGATGAGGAGGATGCTTGAAGATATCTTGCCTGCAAATCATCAGATTTATATAGATTTATAACGTATTGTAAGCCACGTGTTTGATTACCAGACAGTAACCAGGATGAATTTTGAGGATCTTCTCATCAACATTTGATAAGCCAGGATGCTGCTAATTGATGTCCCATTTGGGATTTAACGGATTTATGGAGACTGTCCATTTAACGGTTTAACCATGTTTAACCCTTATATTTGGAAGTAACACTGGGCATGATGATGACATGTAATTTACCTGTGTCTATGAAAGTCATTCGGATCTATGATATTTATGTGGGCTATGATTCGCTAGATTCAACTTCAAAATGTGCACATATCGATCTTTCTAAACATTTACCCTCCGGTAAATTAACATATCTATTGAACATGGCCATAGAAATAGTTGATTTACGCAGTAAACATGGTGATTTTCCATAGTTTTTTGTATGTTTGCCAGAGGGTACTCACTCCTACAGGATCCGCCATGCGGCCGAGGCTCTACAAATGTGGGGCAGACTGCGCCAAGAGGTGTGATGAGAACGAGGAGATCTGCAACAAACGACTTGGAGGTGGACCTCGGTTAACGGTGGAGGTTTCCATAGTCATGGTAGCCCTATGACTTAGGAAACCACCATATGCATAGCGACAAAAAAGATAGACCTGTGATTGATCATGATTTATCACCTTCTTGTTAGGATTTTACTTAGTTTCGACTCATCTTTTTGAGGGTTGCTATATATACATTTAGCTATAGTCTCCCATTGTTATCATCATGATTCAGAGTGATGTTCAGTTATTTACTGTACTACATTGAAGATATATTAACATACTGTGTCACTGTATTACTATGTATATATATATATATTATATATATATATATATATATCTGTCATATATATACATATATATATATTATAATATAATATAGTTTTTAGTGTAACTTAATGTAATTGAATATAATTTGATATAATGCAATATAATATAACATAAATATATCTTCCATGGCTGCTAATCTCCCAGGATTTTCTGCTGGGATTCTTCGCCAGGCGTCCAGGAAGCCGCCTTGAGTGCGGCCCGAGAGCTTTGGGAGGAGCAGCTTGGCCTTGGGCGCCTCGGGGGGCCTCGGTGGAGGTGAATTTCTGTCTGGAATATATATATATATATATATATACAGTACTATAGTCATATGTATAAGATGTTATAGATATTTATAGTGTCTAAGTCTATGTATAGTTTTTTTAGATATGTTGAGAGTTAATTATCTAGTAGATGCCAGTTATAAGTTGGTTTATAAACCCGATTAACTATAGTTATATCTACCATTAAAAAAAACATAGTTAAGTCATGTTATATAAGTCACTTATAAGGCAACTTAGCTATTTTTGGGCCCCATCCTGTATAATGCACTATAGATAGTGTCTATGTTAATATATGTTATAGATATGTTGAGAATGTAAGTATCTAGCATATAGATGTATAGACAATGTTGTAGAGAATATTTGTCTATACATCTATATGCTATTTTGTATATGCCATAAAATATTGTGTCTATAGATGTATATTTGAGGTATATTGACCCAATTTTGTACATTGACACACTTGTCATCCGACTTGTTCCTGGCCCAGGTAGCTTTCAAAAGTGCTTGGCTTGATTCTGTCGAAAAGTATTACAGTATCGCAACCCCCAAAAAGGATAGAACAGATTCAATTTTTCATTACTTGGAAGTTGGGATCTTACCAACTTCCATTTTCTTTGGTTGCCATATATGTTTAGTACGTATGCTAAATATGTTGATGTTTCTCTTCCCCAGGAGCTCTGTCGGAGCCCAGCACCATGCCAAGGCATCAGGGCGTGGTGGTGGAGTGCAAGTCCAGCCTTAGCGCCTTGCAGCAGATCTTGGACTCCAAGGAGGGAGAGAAACAACCTTGGATTGGGGATGTCATAGGTCGATTTCACCATCATTCTGGGCTCTACATGGAGCATCTGGGCTCTACATCTATCTGAAGATGGGTTGAATCCCCATTTAACATAATTTCACTATTTTACAAACCAATTGTGGTAGACACAATTTCTTTTTAACCATCCCCAAGTCATCACCATCAATGGGTGCTATGTTTACCATCCCCAAATGGTAGGTTTATTGTTGGGTTTCCACATTAGGGTTGGGGGATTTATTGGGTCTTAACTCTGAAAGATATGGAATATCATTCACAAATGATGATAAACCATGCGTTTCCGTTGTGACGTTCCTTCGAAACAATCCACTGGAAATATGATGTTTGATGATGAATTCAATCATTTCCCCATATTTTAGTTAGTGAAGTCCCCATGAAAGATCCCAATTGAGCAGTGGCTGCTAAGCCCCGGCTAGTTGATGACTATTTCGGGGGTTATACTAACCAATATATTGGTTATCACAATCCATGAACGGGGAATCCCTATCAACCAGCCAGTATAGAGGGATGACACAAGGTTTCGAACACTGCTCATTTGAACACTGCGCGTTGGCTGCTGCCATTGGAAGTTGAAAGGTGGTACGTACATACAAAAGCCCGACCGATGATGACTGCACAACTTGTTGGGGACGTGCTACTAAGTAGGATCAGTAGAATGTTGAGAGGGGATCTATCACTTTGGAAGCGTAGAATGGTGATGAAGTAAGGACTAGGGGATTTTTATTAAATTATTGGCCGATGCGAATTTGATGGAAATGAACTGTGGTGCTCCCAATATTCCCATGAAGGCCTAGGGATTGACACTTGACAGGAAACTCGTTGAGCTGAGGGATTCTATGGGGACATTGTTGTAATATCAAATGTGGTAAAGCTTCGCAGGACAAGATAGCCTTGCAATTGAGATCTCTCCAGCAACAGCAGCGTGAAGAAGACAAGCAGGACCGGGGCATTGTGCCGAAGGTCGGGTTTTCGCGGTATTTGCTGTTTTGTACAAAATTGTCATTTTGGAAAGTGTGTCAAGAACGTACCTGATATGGCAATATCTTGATTCTTGATGTTCTGATGATACTGCAGCTTATAGCATCCGAAAATTGGACCATCAACCAGAGAATTCCGGTTGTAGTGGGATGATCACAATTTTTCAAAAAGTGCAATACTGCCGTTCTTCGCCTTTATTGTATATGGATGATGTACATAGATATAAAATAATAACACATTGTATCATTGTATAGTATATATATATTTATACATATATACATCATGGCAAGCCTGGATGAATAAACTCCTATAGAGGCTGTTTGATTGAGGGGTACCAATACCATCTTACCATCGTACCCGGGTACCTCCTTACAGCTGCAGCCACCTCCGCTCCAGGAGTTCTGGAGCCAGATGCAGCTTCGCCACGAACAGCTTCAGGTGGCGCAAACGTTTGTGATTAACTTCAGCAATTCGGTACGATTTTTAAGGCTTAATAGTGGTTAATACACGTGAATACTAGTTAGGAGTTAATGATGATGCTTGATAATGGTTGTGGTCAAAAAATGGTTCGCAATGATTATATTATATTGTGGTTACCCTTTGGTAATGAAAGGTGTCTGGGTGGGACATCCCCTATGAATTGTTTAATGGGAAGCTCATCAAACTAAATGGATCTATATAAATGGTGGGTTTTCCAGCCATGGAGCTGATGAAACCGGAGGGTATGAACCAATATCTTCTGCCACCCATTGGATGAAACAAGGTTTAATTACATGTCGGATGACATGATGGTTGGTCAACCTTGGTAAATTGATGTAAATTGGAGGGTCAATCTCCGTGCCCGTTTCATAGGAAATTAAATATAGCAACCAGCGAATCATGGACAATTTGTGGTTTCCAGGGTATCCAAACTTTGCCATGAACTGATGGCTTGCCTGTTACAACCTGGGAATTTCCACGCAATTCACTTTTTATTTTTTTTTACATAGGCCAGTGAATGGGTAGTATGCGCTTCTTGTGATTCTGGTTCATGATATTATATATATACTGTATGGATCTGTATGGTGGTTGCTGCAGTGTTTCTTTACCCGTTCACTGACACTATTTGTACACATGAATATTGAGGTAACTCCAACACTCCCACAAAAATCGAAGATTTGCTGGTTTTTGACTCATGGTCATGGATTGAACCATTTAAGCCCGAACAACTTCACATTTTCCGGTAAAAACTCATGGTTTCCCTCATGGTTTCCAACGTATCGTGTCCCCAACTAACTGAGCCAGGCGAAACTGGCTGACACGGAGCGCGCGCTTCAAACAGAGCAGAACACGCGGATCGAAGAACAACAGCGATATGAGCAACATGGCATGGCACTGGGGGGAGATAGCGATGCAGAAAATGTATGGGAAATGAACAAGCAGAAATGGGAATATAATGGAATATATACATACTGCGCGTGATTACACATGTATAATATAATGCGGGAATTATGCGGGATATCTGAGATATACCAAAAGACAATATATATATATAGAATGTATATACGTATATTATACGTATACACAATGCAACTGAAGGATTTTGACCACTCATGCGCTATGTCACTGAACAGGATGTTGGAAGATAAGACGGGACTAGTCTTGCGGAAGCCTCTAGATGTCTAGTTTGTTACAGTCGGTACCATCTGGTTATGACATTCACAGTTTGCCATGGAAAGATCCACAGTGCTAATAGGCAAACCATCTATTTCTATGGGCCATCTATACCATGGCTATGTTAAATAACTAGAGGGTATTTCAAGTAATGAGATAAACCCCAAACATCCCAAAACCATAAGCCATCCCCGTTTGGCATTTCTGAACTGGTATACATACCCCTAACAATAGGATGATTCAGAATTTCTCCCTTCTATGGTTCCTGGGTCGTGACTATGGCATTTCGCCTTGGGTTTGCCACATAATTTTTACTTTCCGTCCCAGCTCGTGAAGACGATCTCGAGCTGATATGTTTCTGATTTCTGACAGTTTCCCAGAATTGATTTGAGGGAACATCAAAATGAACTGCCTATTTTTGCCTTGTACGATCCATGATGTCGAGTGTACTGCACTTTTTCTTTAAATCTACCAACATTTAAGATGGTCTTACATTAGGGTACCAAATTTTCATGGTTATTTAGTGATCGTTTGATCGTCATATATTTTTAAGGAACACTTGCCACACATGGAGGTACCTCCCATGACCCCAAACGCCATGAAGGACAGTGTTGTCTCGCCTCGGTCTCGCCCTAGAGAAGGCAGGACTGGAAGTGAAACTACGACTTCTTTGGTTTCTTCATGTGGTTTCATACATTTGGCGTATCTGAAAATGTGAGTCACACGCCCCATTTCTAGCAAGTTTTTTTTTTCTAACGGGAACATCATCCTTCGTTGGGATGATCAATTATCATTTCCATTCTGACCCATCCCCGAATGCCCATCCAACTCGTGCAAAAAACAGCCCAGTTGACTTTTTTTTTAGGGATAGTATGACTACTCAGTTCATAGATATTCATAGTGTTCAAGTTTCAATTCATCTGAATTCCCCCATGTTTCAGTTGGTTAAGCTCCCATCACATCCCAATGAATTCCATGGGAAGAAGCTCACGGGCCAGGCGCAAGCCGCATGGCTTCGCGACTCCGCCAAGTTGTCTCAGGAGATTCACGAGGTCCAGGGGACAGGAGTTGAAGAAATGTGGGATTTATATACATATATGTATACATATATATATATATGGATTTATAGTGAATTTATAGTGGTTAAATGTGGTTAAATGTGGTTAATAGTGGTTAGTAGTGGTTAGTAGTGGTTCATGATATGGTTAATAAAAAATAGTTAATAATGGCTGGAAAAAATCTGGGCAAGATATAACAACCTCGTTGCTATAGACTAATCCCCAGAAAACATAGACTTGGGATTAACTTTTGGATTCTGACATGTGGATTGATAGCAAGCCCAAAACAAGTAGAACAAGCTCAATTTATCACCATATATTTTTGGAGTGGATCTTTCTTTCTTTCTTTCTTTTTAGGTGCTACACACATAGCCAATGTGGACACAACTGAGCGAGTTCGTTTTTGCCATCAAACATGGGAATCTTGTCCATCAGATTGAGTGTGATTTCAAGTGGGACCACCCAGATTTATGGCAAGTTTGACGGAGAATTTGATGATCAAGCTTGGATTATTTGGGAGTTCCAAATTTCACACATACCCATTCGTAAATAAGTCCTGATTGGTTTAGAATATATAATATATCTTATAGACGACTATTGCTGTAGCAAATAAATGAATACATGGATGATCGGATAGATGAAATATCCCCCAGTATATCATAATTATGATTTTATAGCATACTAATAATGTTACAAGGATGGCCCCTAGTCTTGTCTGTGGAGGGGGATATTCCTTGTAGGGGCACTCCTAGAAAATTCCTTTTCATTCATTTTAATTAATTCCAAATAATTCAATTTCATTCCAAATAATTCCATTTCATTCCAAATAGTTATTTTCCATTCCCCCAAAAAATCATTCATACTTCTTAGATCTTTTTTTGGATTGTTTAACATGATCATTTAAAGTTTCTTTTTGATATTATTGAGATACTGTATTGGTTTTGTTTTTCTTTTACTTTTTGTTGGAAGGTTTTCTTTTTTTGGATTTGGAACTGTTTTTTTTACTTGTTTGTTCCACTTATCTTTTTGTTTTTTTTTGGAATTTGTTTATTTTTCTTTTTTATTGTTTGATTTCTTTCATATTTGTTTGTTTTTTTGTTTGACATTGTTGGATTGATTTTTCTAAAGGTTTGTTTGGACTGTTTGCTGTTTATTGTTGAGACATTTTGGATGTTTTGATTTTTTTTTGTCGAAAGGATAGCAACTTTTAGGAGTAGCCCTGTTAGGAGTAGCCCAAGGCCCCTTGGTGACCTAGTCATGTTTGTTGGTTTATAACCCCATCAGCAAAGATAATCTCTACCATACATCCTAGTTAACCTATGTATAAACCAACTGGCTAGACCAACGTATATACTGTATACATATTATATGTTTACACAATTTCCAGTTTACTATATTATTTGATATTGTATATACGGTATGTCAAGAAAAACTACTATCTATGTATGATATACAATATGTACATAGATTACGTAAATAAATAAATATATTATATAAACTATATTCCAGTATATATAAAAGATCTATGATACAACATACATCTAGATAGTAATAGAACGTATAATATACTATATATCCATTAGTGTACAATCTCTATACAACAATTTTAGCAATATTGATGTCTATTGTGCTGTAACTGCATGTAGATATGATATTGGTTAGTATATATCCATGTATATATAATCTATATGCTATGCAGTTACTGTAATATTCCCACATAGTATTGAATATATGTACTATGTTATGTATAGAATAAGGTTAGTGCAAGTTGTTTGAAATGCAGCAAACGCATCAAACACTTTTGCTTTCTCCACCATGCTGGTGGCTTGATAAACGGCCTGTGTCCCTTAAGGCAGGTGCGTCAAGCATGATGGTGCAAGCTTCCAAAGTGCTTGTTCTCACATGGTTGGGTGGGTAAAAGCTTGACCAAAGTTGAGTATCAAACCCAAAATTAAATGTACATTCTCATTCAAGCATCCAGTACATCTATATTGTTACCCACGCACAAATATATATATATATACTGTACACATATCCATATATTTCGTATACTATTGAACTAATATAGGTGGTATTGGATAGTATACTATACTATATATCTATCATTACACGATCCAGAGTATAATATCCGCACGCGAATTAACCTAGACCTCGCCAAATTACTGTATGCCAAATTGGGGTTTGGAAGATTCGTGTCCACCACAAACATTGACTAGTTTCAGGCTAATATATATATATATAAATATATTATATTTTCTTTCATATCAATTTTATTATTAATGCCAGAATCAATATATTCATATATCTGTATATATATATATACATGATTTACTATAGTAAAATATATTATGCACACATATATATATATATACAGATATTCATATACATACATTTATGTATATATATATATATACATATGTACATACATATACGTATATATTTTTACGATTTACTATTATATGTACATATATGTATTTACTTTCAGAACAGGGGATCAGGAGAGTGCGCTTTTTGCACTCCTCTTTACACATTCTCTTTTTTGACATATGCATTGACTGGCAGAAAAAAAACAAATGACAAGACTCAACTCTCTGCATCCTTCCCTTGAGGCGTGCAAAACCAAAGAACAAACAAAAAAACAAAAGACAAAAAAACAAACAAACCAAAAAAAACAAAAAAACAAAACAAACAAACCCTATGTCACAGGCACTCTGGCCCAGTAGGTCTTCTTGGTTTTCTTTTTTTTTTGGTTTTGCTAACCTTTGACCTACTCTATCTTCTTTTGGCTCTTAGTCAAATTTTGCAAAACCAGTCTGCATCCTTGCCTGTGTCCTGATGGCTGTGGAGGGGGATAACATGCGCGTAGCAGATGCCATGTCTGCTACGGAACATTTGCTTCTCCGTGAACTTCCGACTCATGTTCACGTAGGGCGGCTTTCTGGGGGGGAAACCTTATTTTTTATTTTCTAGGAGAGGAAGGCCTTATTTTCTATTTTCTGGAGGTGGTGGCTCTGTTTGTGTACTTTTCTTCTGACCAAGGAATACCACCCTCTTTTCAAAGGAATGAACAAATATATTGCATCCTTATCCAGGAAACTTGCATAAAGGCATGCTGCACTGTCCTCAAGGAATACCACGGTCCCTTAAAGTGCAACTGCTTATTCAAGAATACCCTTTCAAAACAATGCTATACTATACTTTCTGCAAGGAATACTATACTTCTTCAAATGACAATTCCATGCATTGCGTTTTCTTACAGAAACATCACCCTCTTTCAAAGGGATTGTTGTGTATATATATATATGAAAGGGTATCCTTTGGTACAAGAACTTAAATCATACCATACTCAGCCATACTCTTTCACAAGCACCGCTGTGTGTCTTGAAGGCAACTTTCTCAAAGGGATGCTACACACTTTTGAAAGGAATATTGTGTATAATTGTATATGTATATATATATATATACATATTTAATTTTATCATACAGTGAATTATGTTATTTGAAAATGATATTATATTTTCCAAATGAATAATATACTTTTCCGAAATAATATTGCGTAACACCATTGTTTAAATCAATATTTCATGAAGCCATCAAGTACTGTCTGAAAGGAATGCTGCTTTTTTGAAAAACACTAATGTCATTATATATGCAAATTATATCTTAAAGAAATGCTACCCTTCTCTAAAAGGACTACTACAGAGGTCTCTATGGAATGAATGACATATTTTTATTAAAATATATGGAAGACAAAACGCACTTGTTGTAAAGGAATGCTATGCACATCTCAGGTCTTGTTTTACACTTCTCACAGGAATGTTGCCCCCTCTGTAGAAGAATGTTGCATAGAGGTATGCCACAACTTCCTTAAGGAATGCCACATTCTTTTAAATTTTCAACGATGGCTTATGAGAAGCATGCTGTTGCCCGTAAAATCTGAGTTGGTACTGTACTAGGGTTTAGAAATACAACATTTTTCAAGGGAACAGTATGCTTACCCTTGCAAAACATACAATATCTCTCTTGGATGTAGGGAACTCTGTCAGGAAGATGCAGTATTGCTTGGGGACAAAATGAAATCTTCTGTCAATCAAAAGTGCTGTTTCCTCTTGTTCACGCTTGCTATAAAGACCTGCAACATAGAAGCAAACACAACTCTATCATTTGAGCATGGCGCAACCGGGCAAAATTGAAATTTCTCTCTGATATCCATTGGCTCAATACAATACAATATTTCATAGCAAAACTGGCCGTATTTTGGCATATTTCTACCAAATTAAATGGTCTCAGCTGTTTGGCGGGTTTGCTTTCAGGTCCTTGTAGTTTCTTGTTGCCTGATGTGCAAACTTGGATATGCACCGTACACACACAAGACTTGAAACCAACAGTTCTTCCACAATACATAGATGAAATGAGATCTCGAAGCAGTATGGCTAAAAAAACGCACTCTCACAGTCCCCCGCTCTCCAGAACTTTACCATATATCTTTCAGTCCAGGCCAAGCGCGACTTCAGCATCGAGATGGACGGCGAGACGCGCGGCGTGGCGCGGCGCCTGGCGGACGGCCTCGAGGCGCAGCAGAAGTTGGCGGACGAGTTGGAGCGAAAGCTGGCGCTGGCCAAGGTGATGGGATGGAGGATGATGGCATAGTAGCTATATAATTAGTAGCTATATAGTGTATATAATTATATATCATTATTATAAAGCCATTATTACTAAGGATGATTAAAATAAGGATGATAATAATGGATATATAATGATCATAATAATGTTATATATATATATATATTATCAATATATCATTGTCATTTGTAGTATACATCATCATTATATATATATATATATATACGGGCCGGAGGTTTGAGGATGGGATAGAGGAGTTAGCCTGTAGCAGCTATATATATAATATAGAATGATACTTATATATGGCAAAGTGATTCAGAAAGGTGCTTTATGACTTTTATGAAATTAGTGCATATCTCATAGCTTCTTAGATTCTTGTGAAAGCTACCTATGGCTTCTATGATTATAGTATACCGGTTTAACTAGTTAGTATTCCATTATTTTGTATATTCCATTGTCCACCAGGTATTTTTTCTTCATAGTACAATCAATATATCCCCGCTTAGATGGGCCATGGGCTTAGCTAACTGGTTGGTAACTGGGTTATAAACCACTAACTAGATCCCAAGTATAATCCATTCACTAACTCCATGGCCCATCTAAATATGATTCTATGGGGTATAGCCCCGGTTCCTAGGCAAGGGTTACAGTAACATGTATCAACATTTATTAACCACTTACTGATGTTAGTAACTAACTAATTACTAGCCATCCCCACTATAGAATCGGTGCTAACCACCCCGACTATTAACCATCATTAATTGTCATACATAATCTCATTATCATCCCATGATCATTGTCTCATTCTACTTCCCATATGATATACTGGACTGTTAGCCCTTATTAACCACTTTCATTAACATAAATCACCATCATTAATCATTATCATCAATTTTGGGGAACTATATATATACATAATCATTATCATATGATCCCCACCATATTGGGGACTATTGACCATTATTTACCATAGTGGGGACATGTATACATGTAAGACGAACTTCCTATATATATATATTGTAAATAATCACCACAATTATTCCCATATCATTATTCCCATATCATGATCATCAACATTTATTAAGCACTTACTGATGTTAGTAAGTAACCAGGACCACCACCCTCTGGTAATTTAACATAGCTTTGGAAAATGAACCATTTATAGATGATTTACCCATTGAAAATAGTCATTTCCCATAGCAAACTGTTAGTTTACCAGGGTAACCACTATAACCACTATTCACTACTAACCATTACTAAATAAGGCTGATGATAATGTTTGGTTATAAACCCATAACACTAACTACCCTCTGGTAATTTAACATAGCTATTGAAAATGGCCATTATTCATGGGTAAATCCACTATAAATGGCCATTTTCAATAGCTACGTTAAATTACCAGAGGGTAGTTAGTGTTATGGGTTTATGATCATACATGGTTTATGATCATACAACCATTACTAACCATTACATGGTTTATGTTATGTACAGTTATAACTATTCACTACTAACCATTACTAACCGTTACGAACCATCCCCACTATGCTTGGTGATCTATCCGCAGACGGAGCTGGGCAGCGTCCTGGAGCGCTTGGACAGCACCGCCCGAGCGCAGCAGCAAGAGCTGAGCCCCTTGGCCCGACCTCGTTTTGAACGTCGGGAGCTTGGCATATATGTTTACCTCTGGTAAACTAACATAGCTATGGAAAATAGCTATTTTTAATGGGAAAATCCACTATAAATGGCCATTTTCAATAGCTATGTTAGTTTACCAGAGGGTATCTGTATCTTTTTATATGATCTTATATGTACCATATATAAATTTAAATAATATATATATATATATACATATATATATGCTCAGCGCCCTTGAATGGACCTACCGTTTTCCCATCCTCACAAAACATACATGAACATTGAACATAGTATATCTGATCTGGTGTCGGGAGCATCAATTTCATGACCTCAAATCAGCTGTGAAATTCCTAGGGGAAACCACGGATTTCCTTTGTGAGCCAAGAACTGTTTTGTTTCCCTTTAATTCTGTTTGACACTGATTCGCTGATTCTTTACTATCAAGATAGTATGGACCATGGCTGGGCAATGATGTGATGGATGTTTATGATCAAACCAGAAAATATAGGCCACACTACATAGACGGTGTTTGGATATAGGATACGGTATATGGTAGTACATGTACATGTACATGTACATGTATATGTATATGTATGTACACGTACACGTACCTGTACATGTACATGTATATGTATATTTATGTGTATATGTATGTGTATATGTATGTATGTACATACATACACATACACTCATAATAAATAATTCTAGATACATGGTATATATCTTACAGTATAGTATGAATATTTTAGAGTCTTTCACCCCTATTACCTTCTGCGGACGTCTTCCAAGGAGATGCGGAGGGTCGCTTGATGCGCCAGGTGAACGACGTGCAGACCATCCAGCGCCTTCACCAAACCATGGGATTAAGAGGAAAACCATGGGGATTTAAGGAACAGATATCCTAGTTTCATTGGATATTATTATAAGATATCATGAGGAGTTATGTGGGTTTTAACCATCAAACCAAACATGTATATAGAGATATACATATATAACATGATAGAGCTCAAAATGATGGTTGATGGTTTATCATAAGGGGATTTAACTAGGAAAAACATTGGGATAGCATTGGTAAATGAGTTGATTGGTTATTGTAAGGAATTATACTTGGGAACTTGGGAACTATGAACTACCCGAAATCTATCAACCAACTAGTAGCTAGTATAATGAGATGGGATGGGGGTACTTTTGAATGGCGCAGTTGATTCCAGTCATCCCAATAATTGGGATCATGATCCCTGACTTTCATAACTCTGGTGGTCTTTTGGAGATGAGTGTTGAAACTATCTCAGAATGGGTTGAAGGGAAATTTTACAGGAAACCGTCCATGTTAAAAGCCATGGTTTCCTGTGAATTGCTCCTACCAATCCATTGAACGGATTTGACCAACACGATATAGCCATCTTGGGAACAAGGTGAGGAGGAAATTTCGGACTCACACCTGGGTGAAAATTGGAGTGTTCATTAACATGTATATAAATGCAGAGAATTGATGATTGAACCAGCCAAGATGGCATGTTTACAAATGGACGTTGGGGTTGATCAAGTAACAGGATCATTTGACCATCAGAAGCGAGAGATTAAGCCGCAAGCATTGGCATAGTACATGTATGTGTATATATATATATATAATGTGTATATGTAAAAAATATATATATATATATTGTGTGTGTGTGCAAACGGCCGTCGTGCAAGAGTACCTGCAATTTTCCAGTTTATCGTCAATGGCAACCGGCTAAGCCAAGAACCGGACCTTAGGTCATTGTTTCTAATCTAACTGCATGTGAGGGGATTCACTTCCCAACGGATCACTTCAATGATCCATTTCTTATCTAGTGTGATTTCCATGGTGACTCCGACATGATGCCATGGATCCAATTGAGGCATCCCTTGTTAGGGAGAATGTGGACAGACTTGACTTCCGAATTTACGCAATTTAACCTAGTAATTCGTTTAAGTAAAGTGAAACAGTCGGCCATTCCGTTCTCCACTTTTTGCAGCGTCTCGCCGCTCCTGCTGTCTTTGCGACAGCTTGGAACTTTCATCTTTACTCTAGCGAAGCCGATCCGAACAGCCAGAAACCTCTTTTTTCGCTGATGCTCATGTTTCTGATGCAACATGCAACATGACAGATGATCCAGGCAGGTACATGCCTTCCAGGTGTGGCTTCACCAACTAGTCCCCCATTCGGTCCCTAATTTCTCCCCCGTGCCCCTCTGTAATGTGTCGTGGGGTTTAGGTGCATGTGTGCCCTGTGCCGGTTAGGTCCGTTTCGCCGTGTAGGTTGGTTCTGGTGGTCCGTTTGTTCCCTTCCCCCCTGCGCTGTTTTTGGCCTTCTGCCCGTCGTTTGTGTCCGCTTTTTCTTTTCCTCTTGCCTTTCAGGGTTGACCCGGCTCCGGCCGGGTGTGTGTGTGTGTAACATCTGAACAGGTGTAAAACTTCTGGAGGGGGCCCGTGGACGCATAGATGGCACGGGCCAACGAAGACCCATCTATGTCGTCGTGCAAACGTACATGCAATTTTCCAGTTTATCGTCAATGGCAACCGGCTAAGCCAAGAACCGGACCTTAGGTCATTGAATCTAATCTAGCTGCATGTGAGGGGATTCAGTTCCCAACGGATCACTTCAATGATCCATTTCTTATCTAGTGTGATTTCCATGGTGGCTCCGACATGGTGCCGTGAGGCATCCCTTTTTAGGGAGAATGTGGACAGACTTGACTTCCGAATTTACGCAATTTAACCTAGAATTCGTTTAAGTAAAGTGAAACAGTCGGCCATTCCGTTCTCCACTTTTTGCAACGTCTCGCCGCTCCTGCTGTCTTTGCGACAGCTTGGAACTTTCATCTTTACTCTAGCGAAGCCGATCCGAACAGCCAGAAACCTCTTTTTTCGCTGATGCTCATGTTTCTGATGCAACATGCAACATGACAGATGATCCAGGCAGGTACATGCCTTTCAGGTGTGTTTCTAATCTAACTGCATGTGAGGGGATTCAGTTCCGAACGGATCACTTCAATGATCCATTTCTTGTCTAGTGTGTGCATCGCTTCCTGGATGAGAGAGTGAAAGGCTGAAATGCAAGGTACGACAAGGGTAAACCACAGGTAGTAAAGATGGGTATCCAAGCCAGAGCTGGACAACACCAAGGAAGATAATTATCATTTCCAAATTGGCTAAACATGAAATGCCTGGGAGTTCCTGGTAGGTTGTTGGCCTAACTTTGGTGAAACCATCTTTATCAGTTCGATGTTGTAAACATGTGTTTTTTGTTCCCATCTAAGAAGGGGGATGGCGATTCCACATGGCATAAGGTAATGATACGTTTCACGCGGCTCAGGGGTGGAAGGACGCAACAGGCAGTCTTCGACATGAAGGCTGGGAGGGTTGAGAATTTGCCTCAAATTCGCTACTCTCAAGTAGACTGATATAAGTATACGTAAGGTATTACATGGACATGGAATTTCGGCAGTTTGTAGATGTACAAAAAAACAGCCATGCATTTCCATATCGATCTGAATTTCCTGGATGGTACCTCCCAAAACTCATAGTTGCAGTTTAAAACCATTGAGAATCCCATAGTTAATCATCATTTTCCGATCAAACATGGGCAGAAGTTGTGTATTCATAGTAATTATGTTCCCCATTATAATTTAGATAATGGATATTAGTTATTTCTATAATATATATTCTCATAGCAATAATGGTAATTCTCCATATTTTCCATATTCTCCATATAAACCCTACAATTCATATGGTTTATTCCCCAGTTCCCAGGATTTCCATACGAACTGCAGGCGGAGCTCGCCAAGCAGGAGCAAGTCTCGGCCGCCCGGCTCTCGGCCCTGCAGAAGGGGCAGGCGCCGATCGGAAAGACAGGGGTTTTCCATGGGGGGGTTCGTCCATTCAGTGGATTGGTTTATGGGAAAATCAACAGGAAACATCCATACTGCATGGGAAAAACATGGAAAAACCATGGTTTCCAGTAGATTTTCCCTTAAACAAATCTAGTGTTCCATGAGAAATAGGGATTGAACCGTTAAATCACACATTCAACGCGCTCTTACAGTAATTGTTGTTTATTGGATTTAACTTTGACCATAAAATCCTTGGCAGGATTTTTTGGTTGATTTAACCATGAAAATGAGGATTTGTAGCTATATCAAACATATGGGTATGGGTCTAGTCGTCGGCGCCAAGGGACCCACAAACTGCTTATCATGTTTGGGATCTGACCCGTTTTGGGGTCAAAAAAATATACACATTATACATAATAAAGATGTACACAATATACATGTAGAATCATGTACTAATATATATATATATATATGTGTGTGTAATGTATGTATGTAATGTAATGTAGTGTCGTGTCATGTCATGTCATGTCATGTCATGTCATGTATGTATGTAATGTAAGTAAGTAAGTTTGTATGTATGTATATAATGTATGTATGTATTTATGTATGTATGTATGTTTGTTTGTAAGTAAGTAAGTAAGTATGTAATGTCTGCCTGTCTGCCTGCCTGCCTGCCTGCCTGTCTGTATGTATGTATGTATGTATGTAATGTATGTAAGTGAGTATGTATGTATTGATGTAATGTAATGTTAGGTTATGTAATGTTATGTAATGTTATGTTATGTAATGTAATGTAATGTTCTGTAATGTATTGTAATGCATGTGTCATTGTACTTTTTTTTTTTGTAATGTAATGTAATGGTATGTATGTACGTACGTATGGAATGTATGTATGTATGTATGTATGTATGTGTATGTATGTATGTATGTATGTATGTATGTATGTATGTATGTATGTATGTATGTATGTGTGTATGCATGTATGTATGTATGTATGTGTGTGTATGTATGTAATGTAATGTAATGTAATTCAATGCAATGTAAAGTAATGTAGTGTATGTAACTAATGTATGTATATATGTAATTAATGTATGTATGTATGTAATTAGTGTATGTATGTATGTATGTATGTATGGTATGTATGTTATGTATGGTATGTATGTTATGTATGTTAGGTATGTTATGTATGTTATGTATGCTATGTATGGTATGGTATGGTATGGTATGGCATGGTATGGTATGGTATGGTAATGTAATGTAATGTAATGTAATGTATGTATGTAATGTATGTATGTATTAATGTATGTATGTATGTATTAGTGTAATGTATTGTAATGTAATGTAATGTAATGTATGTATGTATGTGTATATGTATTAATGTAATGTATTGTAACGTAACTTAATGTAATGGTATGTATGTATGTATGTATGTATTGTAACGTAACTTAATGTAATGGTATGTATGTATGTATGTAATGTAATGTAATGTAATGTAATGTAATGTATGTATGATGTATGTATGTATGTATGTACGTATGTATGTATTGTAATGTAATGTAATGTAATATGATGTAATGTAATGTAATGTAATGTATGTAATGTATGTATGTATGTAATGTAATGTAATGTAATGTAATGTAATGTAATGTAATGTAATGTAATGTAATGTATGTATGTATGTATGTATGTATGTATGTAATTAGTGTATGTATGTAATTAGTGTATGTATGTAATTAGTGTATGTATGTATGTATGTATTTATGTATGTATGTATGTATGTATGTATGTATGTATTCATGTATGTATGTATATATATATGTAAGTATGTAAGTATGTAAGTATGTATGTATGTATGTATATATATATGTATGCATGGATGGATGTATGTATGTATGTAAGTATGTAAGTATGTAAGTATGTATGTATATATATATATGTATGTATGCATGGATGGATGTATGTATGTATGGATGTATGTATGTATGTATGTATGTACGCCCCGTATTCATTTGGATTCAAAAAAATGATTTTGGTGGGTGACTTAGGATGATTCAGCCAGATGTAGGTATGTACATATTTACAATATATATATATATACTGTATATATATATATTTTTTCCCCACCTGCCAGGTGAGGGTTGTTAGATTTTATGTCAGTTGCCTGCTCCTCTCCTCCTCTCCTCTCCTCCTCTCCTCTCCTCCTCCTCCTGCTCAACCGCGACCCTCGACGCACAGTGTTCTCTGTCGGACCTCAACCACGACCATCCACGCCCAGTGTTCCCTGCCGGACCTCAACCACGATCATCCCCGCCCAGTGTTCCTGCCGGACCTCAACCACGACCATCCACGCCCAGTGTTCCCTGCCGGACCTCAACCGCGAGTATCCACGCCAAGTGTTCCCTGCCGGACCTCATGTAGGAAGATATGGGACAAAGAATGTGCAGAAGAAAGTTACAAACATAGAATGCCAGAAGATTTGCCGGATAAAATGCCAGAAGATATGCCAGAAGATATGCCAGATAGAATGCCAAATAGAATGTCAGAAGATATGTCAGATAGAATGACAGAAGATTTGCCAGATAATATGCCAGATAGAATGCCAGAAGATTTGCCAGATAGAATGCCAGAAAATATGCCAGGAGATATGCCAGATAGATATGCCAGAAGATATACCAGAAGATATGCCAGATAGAATGCCAGAAGATATGCCAGATAGAATGCCAAACGATATGTCAGAATATATGCCAGAAGATATGCCAGATAGAATGCCAGATAGGATGCCAGAAGATATGTCAGATAGAATGCCAGAAGATATGCCAGATAGAATGCCAGAAGATTTGCCAGATAGAATGCCAGAAGATATGCCAGATAGAATGCCAGATAGAATGTCAGAAGATATGCCAGATAGAATGCCAGATAGAATGTCAGAAGATATGTCAGATAGAATGCCAGAAGATTTGCCAGTAAGAAAATGTATAAATTTGTAAATGTCATGGTGGAGATCACACGAAGTAAAGTAATTTTTTCTTGTCATCCAACATTTGGCATAGGTCCACTTTACACATCTTGATAATTATGCCCACCGATTTTGTTTGTCCACATGTGTATTGCTTTATTTATTGTTGCCCAGACACATCGACACAGAGGTTGCTTCGAGCCAGGACGAACTGGAAGGTCGAGCCATGATGGCCCTCAACAACTTGGAAACTCGAACCCTGCAGAAGATTCAGGACTTTCGATACCACGAGATGGGGGCGAGGCTTAGAATGATGGGTCTGGGGTGGTTAGTGCCCGATTCCTAGTGTTATTTGATTTTTAGGTGAGTTATAACCCCACTTACTAGCCAGTTATTAAGTGGGATGATCCTCCAAGTAGGGTAGGGATGGGATGGTTAGTTGAAATGAAGCAGACATACCCTCCATTCATCCAAGGTTGCAACAGAAACTCATGATATAGAGGGACATTTCCCATTGCCATGTTTCGCTACCAGATGGTATTTGTTCAATTTCAGGTACCAAACTCGTCGGGAGCTGATGGTAGCCTGGCATGGAAGGAGGGATGGGAATTTCAAAGCTGGTGATTGCTGGTAGCTACCGATAGTTGATTGCATTTGATTGCCGGATGGCTGCAAAGTCACTCGAGTCGTTGTAAAGGTCCCCCAGTGTGGATGTTTGTTTGCTTGCGTAAGTCGTAAGTGGCTAACGACCATGACTAACAACCATGAGTAGTTGACCAACAATGATACACAGGACCAACAGGACTCGTGTACATATTGCCACCACGGCTATCGAACACTTGTTGACTGGGATGCTAACAATCAAGAAATGCAACTTGGAACCAGCCAACGGAACTGCAACTTAGAATAAATGAAACTCACAACTCACAACTGATGACCGAAAGTGGTGGTAGAGCCTACCAATACAATGGGCCTTTACCGGCCTTTACCCCAACAATGATATTGATAATTATGATAATACATCAACACATATCAAAACACATCAAAACATATCAAAACACATCAATACCAAGTGACAATCGTCATAGTCCCTTGGTCTAACAAACACAGATGTACCTAAACAAAATAGGGTTGTAAACCCAACAACACACCTCCCATTGAAGCTCGCTTAGACAATCCGTTTCAGCGCAAATTGGGCATGAATGATCTCTTTTGGTTGGTTAAATCCCAATTAAATCCCCTAAAATCCAATCAAATCCTATCAAATTCCATCAACATCACTATGAAATCCCATGAAATCCCCATAAAATCCTTTAGGCTGCCATGGCAGGACAGTGCCGACTTGGAGCGCGAGAAGACACGAAATGAGATGACACGGGCGCTGGAGGAGGAAAGGACGGAGCGACTGCGAATGGACGAGGAACTTCGAGAAGAACATTTGAGGCATTTGGCCGAGATGAGCAGCTCGGAAAGCTGATGGGCAGGATGATGATGATGATGATGATGATGGTGATGATGATGATGATGATTATGATTATGATTATGATTATGATTCTGATTGTTATGATATGTACATATATATATATATATGATGGTAACCCTGTGTGCCATTGGGATGGGGTAACTTCTGGGTGCCTGGGGTAAGAAACAACGTCCGCCCAGTACGTATGGCTATCTTGTTCACGGGGCCCGAAGTCAGGAATTAAGAAATCTCATGGAACGTGCGGACTTCGTATATAGTATAATTTAGTATAAATTAAATTAATATAATACAATACAATATAATATGATATGATATAATATGATATGATATGATACCCAGCAAGTCTAAGGGACAACTTTTTGAGGTCCTATGAGATCTCGTGGAAAGTGGTCCCAAAAGGAACATGTTCAGCATAGTTGGGACTATGTACTTTTTGGGTCCTTTGGGCCTAAAAGGAACGTTGCACAATACCATCTATAGATGTACTTTTTGGGCCCTTTGGGCTACAAAGGAACATGTCATAATACCATAATATAGGATATACTTTCTGAGTCCTTTGAGCTCAAAAGGAACGTTGCACATACATATCTCAGGCTGAGGCAGGGGTGTGCAACCCCGCTTCAGCGAAGGGTTGTGAGTGGCATGTGGGTGTTTATTTTTTTTTCAGATTTGAAAGTCAGCCTCAAGGAGTCTGCAGCCTGAAAGCTGTGTGCCTTAGGTACACATGGCTCGGAACAACAAAAAAGTGGCATGGTTTGCTTATGGGTTTCTTCACCAAGATAGACACATAATCCCCCAAAGCGTGAGCAAAGCGTGAGCAAACCGTGAGCAGCGCGAGCAAACCGTGGGCAAACCGTGAGCAAACCGTGAGCAAACCGTGAGCAAACCGTGAGCAAACCGTGAGCAGACCCTCGTAAGGACCCAAAAGGAACCTCGTAAGGACTCAAAAGGAACCTAAAGGACTCAAAAGGAACCTCGGCGAGCGTGAGCAAAGCGTGAGCAAAGCGTGAGCAAACCGTGAGCAAAGCGTGAGCAAACCGTGAGCAAACCGTGAGCAAAGCGTGAGCAAGCGTGAGCAGCCCATTCTTGATGACAACATTTCGCAATAAAAAGTCGTTCGCTCGTAATTTTCCCGCTGGTTCACCACCTCAAAACAAAACAAAAACATCCAAAGACAGGCTTGACATTTTGTGGTTGAATGTCCAGGCCAGAAACGAAAACAGTAAATCAGCACGGCACAAGCATTGAACTTGGAAAAAACTATGTCAGCTGCCTCGGTGGGGTTGCAAAGTGGTATGTTGAAACAAAACATCTAGCGCTACTGGCACTACTATATATAAACTCCCGGCGGTAGAATATTCGGCACAGTTTTATCAACGCTACAAACCCTCGGCTATAGAAGTTTCGGCAAAGTTATAAAATCCTCGGCCGGGGAATCCTCGGCATTGCTATGAATCCTCGGCGACAAGCCTTTTTAGGACCACTTTTCGCAAGGATGTACTTTTTACTGTAGGACTTCTTGGAATATGATATTTAATATATTGTACTATAAAACATAATATAGTATAATATGATATAATACAATACAATACAATATAATATAATATAATATAATATAATATAATATATAATATGAAGTCGTGTGAGCTGCTGCGAGAAACACATCTGAGTGCCTGCAGGAAAGGGCATGTATACATACATACATACGTACGTACGTACGTACATACATACATGCATGCATACATACATACATACATACATACATACATACATATGTATATATATATATATCAGTAGATATTATAAAGATTATCAGTTGTGTTGCAAGGGGCCTCGGAACACCTTGGAAATTTGAAAATCCAACTGTTCCAAACGGCTGTCCCAGAAAAGGATGGTGTTAATTTGGTGTCAACTGAGGAGAGCAAGTGGATGACAACAAGAAAGAGCTGAATGAAATCGTTCAGAACGCAGAGGAGCTTGTTCTGGAGTCAATCGCAGTCACGCCCGGCTGGTGCCGATTTTGGGTGTACTTGGTGCCTCTGAATGTTGTAGGATTCCTAGTCATGGAACTGCGGTGCGCGAAGATAGACACAGGTTCATGGTGACTGAAGAATTTTCATTTAGTGAAAGCACAGTCACGTAGATTCCAGCACATCACTGACCTTATGAACGTACTTGGATGGGCCGTGGAGTCAGTTACTGGTAGTACCTTCCGGTAATCAAGCATGGCAAGGCTGGGAAATCCCTTACTCAATGGGTATTAAAAATCTGAAAATCATTGAACCAAATGGATGATTTAGACATAGCCTCCACCCACTCACAGTAGGAAATGAAGGTTGAAAACGGAAAACCCTACTAAAGGGATGATAGTTCCGGTCATCCGGTCCTCCGGTCATCACCCCTAGTGAAGGCTATTTTAATATACATATTGCATATGTAATAATATGTGTGTATATATATATACATATCCAGTTATAAGCCCAATGGGGCTTGTCTGGAATCCGGGATACCCCCAATGGCCCGGTTAATGGAAGGATTATGATTTTAAAATCCAATAGATTTGAGGGTATATTGTGTGTTTAAACAACGCCAGTGACCTTCCATGGCCCCAACAAGATGCTGAACAAGTTGGAATCCTGGAACATATGATAAAAGATCATATTATTTATACCCTCTGGTTATGACTAACATAGCCATGGAAAATCCCTTATACATGGAGGTTTCTAGCTGGGAAAATCATCTATTTCTATGGGTCATTTTCCATGGCTATGTTAAATAACCAGAGGGTATATACTATATATAATTACATTCCTGGGAATATGTATCTATTTTTTTTCGGGGTTAATTCCCATATGCTCCATGGTGCTGGAATAGTTACCTACACTTGGGCGATGATTGCGAGACTTGTTGGTACATATTCCAGTATCATGAAGCATATGGGTTATATTCTGCAACTTATTAATAAGATTTTGGATAAATATGGATAAATGATATTAAACCATAATTAAGTACTTATTACATCTATTGATAATTATTAAGTACTACAACCATTAATTAAATACTACAACCATTAATTATAATCAGTCATTTATTGATCATCTATTTATTTTACAACTGGCCCATCTCGTGGGCGCGCCGCGGCGCGCCTTCACCAGGAGCGTTTGGTCAAGCGCTTGGAGGATCAAGTAACAGTCGAGCGGACGAAAACCCGAGCCTTGGAAAAATGGGGGTGGATTTACCCTTTGGTAATTCGTTACATAGCTATTGAACATGGCCATTGAAGGTTAATTTAGCTAGTCAGAAAAACGGGATTGGTGGATTTCAACATGAAAAATGAGTTTTTTTGGTTGTGAATGACATTTATTGGATTTACCTATGAAGAATTGGGATTTAACCATGAACACTTTGGATTTTGCTTTGTTTAGCCAACGACTTAGTGGCTTTTGGGTGTGTCTGGAAATGGGGTGTACCCCAATTTATGGCCATGTTGATAGGGAAAATGACGTTTAATCGTTCTGCTGGCTTGCATAGCTGTTGTATTTCTATAAATGTATTTAACTTGTATAACCAACGAAGGAAGAGTTCAATCAGGTTCAATACATGACATGACAGCCATCTTGGGTTCCCAGGAATTGGCAGTTCCTCGAAAGCCAACATTCCCCACATTTTTCATGGCTAAGCCGAGGCGAACAGATCGAGGCCTTCATCGAGGAAGAACGCAGCGAGAGGCTGAAGGCGGAAGCTGAGCGCTTGACATCGCTGCAGAAGCGGCTGCAGGCGCATGAGGTGCGGAGCCCCGGCAGTCCCGGCAGATGGCGGCGGATGGGATACCCTTTGGATCAACCATAGGATATAATGACCCAGATGGGTTATATCAGTTATATCCACTGGGATATAACATAGCTAGCTGGGTAGATTATAACGACCTATATAAGTTCAGAACTGGATTAGAACACATCAAAACGAGCTGGGCTTTGTCATGGGAATATCATTCTTAACCAGCTGCCAGCAACTCGATGGCATATCTGTTGGAGTCATAAATGGGGATTGGACCAACTGTTTTATGGGGATACCGCCCAGTAAACTGACAAAGCTATGGAAGCCATGGCCCATGTAACTTAAGGATACTTAAGGATCATTCAGCTAGCTTTAAAGATGGTGATTTCCAGAGCAAACTGTTGAGGGTATATGATATAATGGGATACACAACCAATGGTATGATAGTTGGGTGTGTCTGAAATTTTAGGATACCCTTTCATCCCCATGGCATCCACAGCTGAATCATACTTATCCCGCATATCCCTATTAAGTTTGCATTAGTTTGCTATTTGAGGGTATACCGTACATTTTTAGACACTTGCATAGTTGGATGGTTGGGAGATGTTAGCACCACAAGAGATCACAAGAGTATGTAAAATACAATGGTATCTAGACTTATATGGTGATAAACTGTGATAAACTGGGCGGTTGAGGTGTTTTTATGTCACTATGTACAACTGGATGGTGTACGCAGGATCCATGTTGTCTTTTGGATGACATTTTTGGGAACAATTTCGGAAGATGGACAGCCAAAATGAGCAAGAACTCCAGAAGATAGCGGGAAGGTCACCAGCTTTCTCAGGTGGGTGCTGTAGTGGGTTCTGTGCAAGTCACAAGAAATAAGATGCCAAAAAGAATCCGAAAATGGACGTTTCCATAAATGGGGATACAAAATGGAAGGTTTATAATGGAAAGTCCTATTAAGATGGATGATTTGGGGGTACCCCTATTTCAGGAAACACCCATATAGGAGGTCTTTAAACAGGTTCACAATGCAGAGGAATTGTCTCCTCTTGAAATGGGGTGCGCAACAACAAATACATGACCGAATTACCGAATCATTTGTTAATATATCATCCCTATTGAAATTGCCATCAATTGGGGGTACACATGGGTATACTCCATTTTCAGGTCCACACCCACATCCATTAAGTTATTGGTTGAATATACTCAAAACCTAATTTTTGAGAGTAAAATCAACATTTCGATTGTTAAATCCCAATTTTGCACCATGTTTCATGGCAACATTTGTTGACATCCACATTTTTTCTTGTGAAATCTGTTACATTCCGCATTTTTTTCTGATAGAATCTGTTGAAATCCAAAATTTGCTACATTCCCCATTTGTCTGGTGAAATTTGTTAAATTCCACATTTTTTCTGGTGACATTTGTTAAGTTCCCCATGTTTTCATGGTGAACTCTAGCATTTCGCGGCCGTCTTCTGGGGCGTTTGCTGCTTATAGGAGCTCACCCTTCAACGGCTCAGCGAGCAACGGGCGCGCTGGGAGACGGAGGTAGAGACGCTGCGTCAGAAGTGCCTCGGCTGGGAATGGAGGTGTCCATTTACCCTCTGGTAACTTAACATACTGTGGATGGAAGAAATCCTGCACCAGTTGATAGATGGTTTATCCCATTATTTATAGGGTTTCAACCATCCTTTTGGTGGTGCAGGATTTCTTCCATCCACAGTAGCTATTGAAAATGGTCATTTATAGTTGATCTACAAAGTAAAAATGGTGATTCTCCATAGCTATTGTTTAACTACCAGAGGGTAATGGGGGTAGCCTAAAACCCATGGATTTTTGCAATACTACACTGGCATTTTTTTTGTTCGGATGAGTTGGGGGTTATTTGCCATTTTAGGACACCTGCAAATGGAGGTTTATAGCTGGGAAAATCATCGAACTAAATCATGTATGATGGATATGTATATATATATACACATAACGGGGATAGTATTGGATAATACCAAGTTTGGGATGAACAAGAATGGTGGTTTAATCAACAGAAATTGTGGTATAATGGGACTACATTTTTTTTGTGGGATATAACCCCAAACGTCAGCCGGAAATCAGGCCACAAAGTTGTCCAGAACCAGAGTTACATGTCTTCAGTCTGGTTTCAATAAGTCATGGATCTTCAAAAAGTGGTCTGCCTCCAGGTTGGAAGCGCAAGCACTGAAAGATAAGCAGGCCCAGGGGGGAGGTGGTGCCATTCTGGTGCTTGTCCAGCCTTTTTAAGTGAGGTGAGAATCATCCTATGACCCGTATGGTGGCCATTAGGAGGGATATCCTGCTAGGGGCATCCTTGCAATCGGCATGCTACCGGCATGACGAAGTGCGGAATCCCATGGGATGCCTGTTCTTCCACTCAGCGCTGGAGGTAAACCCAGTGAGTTTTAGTCGATATGTTGCTGCTCGAATCTGATTGTTGGGATCCTGTTTGCTGACGCAGCCCAAATATTATATATATAATATTATATTTTAATATATATATATTATATATATAATATTATATAAAATATATATATATATAAGATAATATATATATATATACGTGAATATGTGTGAATAGTTCGGAAGGCAGCCACCTTTTTTTTCCTCCTTTCTATCCCTGTTCGTGATTTTTCGATGGGATTCCTCCAGGACTTGAACAAAGATCTGCAAGATTTCGTTCAAGAGGAACGGCAGGTAACCAGTGGACTTGCAGATGACATGAGAGTCTTGGGAGGCCGGAGATTTGGATAGATTTGGAACAGGGATGGATGAGATCAAACCTGGGCCATCAAGATCTGTAACCGTGTAACTAGCGACAAAAATTGACACTTGACCCTGCGGTTTTGATAATTTGGCTTTGTCTGAAAATAGGGTACCCCTAAATCCGCTGGTTAATCATCATTGTCCCCCTAAAATTGGCAATTTTGTATAATTTTATGGTATCCCCAGTTTTCAGACACACCCATTTCATTGATTTTCTCTTTTGGTGTTGAAACCAACAGGCAACAAACACCAGAACCAGCAAGGTCCAAATGGGTTGGACCACCAACCAGGACCATGCTGGCCTGGAAATTGTCCTGTAACCAGCCTGGGCAATCTGTCCATGGCATGCACCGACCCACTGCGGGGATTGCCCTGCGTTCTTTTTGTGTTGAATTACCAGCTTGAATACACCCCAAAATGTGATGGTTGATCATGTTGATCATCATTTTACCCAGTCAAACTGCCAGAAATTGGGGGCAAAGCGCCAAATTTATCCAAATTTTTGGTTGAGCCTTGACTTGACTCTTGTCAAAGGCGAATGTCAGAGCCTGGCCGAGAGCTTTCAGAAGCACCAGAGCGCAACGGAGCAGAGGTGCCATGCAGTTCGACCGGGTGACAGCCGCATCTGCGGTTTTCTCAAGATACATTGACGTCACAATGTTGATATATATAATATGTATAATATATATAATATATATAATATATATAATATATATAATATATATAATATATATAATATATATAATATATATAATATATATAATATATAATATATATAATATATATAATATATATAATATATATAATATATATAATATATATAATATATATAATATATATAATATATATAATATATACATAATATATATATATATTATATAATATATAACATATAATATATATAATATATATATACACGATTATAACCAGCAAATGTATGGGGATGTCATGGTGATTCTATGGTCAACAATTATTTGGTAATCCCTCCCAGTTACAAAAAAAACAAGCAGATTTGGGATGATCTCCCATGACATCCCAACGAAGGGGGAATTTTCTGGGTGAACTCCACCATCTCCCCGAAACGAGTCGTCGTTTCGTCCAGGCTGGCGCACGAGGCCGCGGCCCTCTCGGCGCAGCTGAGCGTCGGCAACGCCTCGCTGACCGCGCTGCTTGCGCAGCACGGACAGACGCAGCAGCTGGCCTTGGAGACGCGGGCGCGGGAGATGCTTGGCGCGGTGCGAAAACAGGGGTCAAACATGGAGTAAGAATTGTTCATGTTAATGTTAATAGATGTTAATAGTATTTAATAGTAATATATAATAATACTAATGAAAACAATATTAATAATAATGATAATGAATGGTAATGAGTTAGTATCTAATGTTCATTGTTCGTTCTAATGGTAGTTAATTTGAACAGTTATAGTTAGCGTTCATAGTTAGAATACTTAGTGTTATATAATGTGAATGGCTGTGAATTATAGTAATTATAAACAATAATACAATAGCGTAGTTAGTTATGAAATTAAATCATGATAACCACATATATGATTGCTTAAACAAATAACAGTTACTTTTTGTAATAGTAATCTATGGGTCAACAGTTAATGTGAGTAGTTTTAGTTAGTGAATGTTAGTTATGATTATGTTAACTAACTATAGTAATTGTATGTAATTGTCAACATTATAGAACTGATCGACATTAAGTATAATTGGGTCAATAGTTAGTGTTCATAATCAAAAATAGGTTTTAATCAATAATCGCACATAATCTTAATTTTAGTGGTGATATTAGTGGTGATATCATTGGGAAACAATTGGTGGGAATATACCAATCCAGATGATTTTGTTTTTTGGCAAGTATATATATATATTATATTACATTATGAGCACAAGAAAAATAGGGTTACGACAATGAGTAGTTAGATAAAATTATGTTTAAAGTATCGTGATAGTGATTGCTTCTGGGAATGGCATGGTGGCTCACAACAACAGTAATAAGCCCAACTGCATCCCCAAGTATGGTTATAGTGGGGATATTTTATGGAGCTACAATGGGATTTTTCAGCCTTTTTGATGGGTCAAAGCGGACCTTACATCGGGATGTCATGGGATATACTGTTTCATACAAACCGAATGTGGATTGCTGGGTATATAATGAGGATACAATGGGATATCATTCTGGACTGGGTCCCATGATATGGTAATCTCCATGGTGGGTCCCGTTTAATCCCCAGGCTTCACCTCAGGCTGGGATGTTCAGGACCAGCACCAAATGGGAATGGGTCAAGACCGAGGAAATACCATGTTTTCGGGGATGAAGATCCATGATTCTACATTTTTAATACCAGTTCCCCGTTTCCAGACATCAACTTTGGCATATTAAATCCCCGTGTTTCCAGATAAGTCGTCCCAGTAGTGTGATTGGTTTGATCTCCATGTTTTTGAGTTGGATATGGTGAAACATCGCCAATGTTTATTGGTTAAATCATGTTAAATCCCAATGAACACGTCGGTGAAATCCCCATTGAAACTGGGTGAAATCCACCTTTTCGAAACGGTGAAATCTTTAAACACCAATTTTTCACGGGTGAACATCACACTTTTTTCAGGATCATGTTCGAAAGATTCAATACGAATCCATTTTTTCATGGATCGTTCCGAGTTCCAGGTTTTTACCCCTTTTCCATGTTTTTCCAGCCCCTTTTTATTATTACCCTCTGGAAAATGTTAACATGACAATGGAAAGATCCACCATTTTCAATGGGAAAATCCACCATTTCTATGGTCCATTTTCAATACTAAAGGCTCATTTCCCATAGGATCCATGTATGCCATATATGGTAACATTTACCATCAATGTACCCCAAATGTTAGCATATATACCATACATGGATCCTATGGGTTTTGATGCTTGGACCATGTTGGACCCAATTTTTGGGTCCAGCGCCGGCCCAGGATCACTGGTGAGATCGTGAAAGTCTCCGACGAGCTGGACAAGTCGCTTGGTCGCCATCGCTGGGCGATGACAGGGTGAGTTTTGTTTCCTTGTGGTGCTATGACAAATGGTCAATCATATGGTGGTTAATGGTGGTTAATGGTTAATCATATGGTTAGTCATTTGGTGACAAAAGTTGTAACTTTTCAGTTAATTGTTTTGAATCAAGAAACTTTTCAGCTTAGTGAATCATGATCATTTAATATCATTTATCCAGATCAGTGTATGCTAAAAATGTTCCCCCTGTAAATGGAGGTTACCTAGCTGGGAAAAAACAAGTATCAATGGGGGGATTTTCCAGCAAGCCAAACCCGATTACTCCTTTTGAAGACTTGGGATTCCACCAATCAAGAGGTATTTTCTACGGGGTATTGAAACCACAGACAAGTTATAGAGGTGTGGAATCAAGCATTACTATAGATTATTCGATTCTGCAGAGATTCAGATATTTCTAAAAGATTCTACAAGCAAAAATGGGATGTAGTGGCAAATTCTTGAAACTGAATATGGTGGTAGAAGGGCCCCGCCAAGAAGATTTGGATAGCCACGAAGCCGAGGATGAACGGCGAAATCCTGAAACTGATCGACGACGAATCGGACAAGGCCGCTGGGTGTTTGATGGCCTCCAAAGCCAAATCAACATGGTATGCCCCATGTTACTTCGCATTTAGTTGCTGTAGATTTCCCTTTTCTGGATTGACAAGTGGGCCCGATCATCCAGCTGCGAAAACCAGTGGTTTGGTGGGGTATGTCTAAAGTCAGATCAGGTTTTAGTTTGAAATGAAGATAATGAAGCAACATAATCATATCATCACAATGATATCATAATGATCACTCTTAAAGTCAACGTTCCGGGGCGTCATCTACAAGGTCAGCCGTCTCTGATCAGCAAGGTGAAAGAGAAGCATTTGGCCATGGAGAGCCGCGTCGGAACTTTGGAGTCTCGGCACGGCGACGGCAGGAGGTGAGGGTGCATGGTGCAGGTTGCCAAGGCAAGTTCTCCCGCAAGAGCAAGGTTCAATCTGGGAGTTTTTGATTCTGGGATTCTCACTGGCAAACTTTGCAAGATCATCAAAGCTTGCCTCAACTTGTAATTTGATCATTCTGAATCCCGTCTTTTTGTTTTTGCCACTCATTTTGGTTGGTTCAAGTTCAAATCCTTTTCTAGCTTCAAATCCATCTTGGTTGCTTTCGTGATCTTTTGCTGGCCAAAATTTCCATTCTCTTTCCAAATTATATAGTGATATTCTGCGTTGGGTTGAGCTTGTTGAAGCATTTCCCTATCAAGTTTTCAGCTTTCTTTGTTTTGGGCCGCAACAAAAACATCGTATTAATCCATCCCTTCCATCCCAATAAGATATCTATATATAATATCTATTTAATATAATATAATATATATATAAAATATATATACTGTATATATAATTTAATATCTATATATATTAGATTAAATACCGCCCAATCGAAACCTGGTGGAATGTATCGGATCTCTTTTTTTAAAACGGGAACGGAGCCCGTTCGGAAGGCCACGATGATTCTCAATTGGCCACCATGGATATGATATATCTGGCATATTTCTGGCTGTTTTGCGATATTCATGTTGGATGTAGAAATGTGTGTTTATGGTAATGTGTGTTTTGTCTGAAACTTTAGGAGACCCCAGTCCATCCACTAGCTAATCATCATTTTCCTCAGTAACTTGCTATTAACCGGAGGGTAATCCCACAATTTTATGCATTTTCGACAACCACATATCAGATTGCTGTCCCATGATCTCAAATTATGGTTAAATCCTCTATTCATGGTTGAATTCGGGTAAGTTGTTCATCCACTTCATGGTGTAAGTCCACCATTTTGATGGTTAAATCCCACATTGGCTATGGGTCAAACCCTGTACCCCTTCTGTTCACACCAAAATAGCTAGGACTTATGGACATTCATCCCCCTAGGAATTGTATCGATAGCTATTGATCCATGGCGAAATCGCAACACGTCACCTGTATATGTTGATCAATAGATTGGTTTAATGAAAAATCGAAGCCGGAAGCGATTGCTTTTACTTCTCAAACTTCGTTGGGGATGAATCGCTGGGTGGGAACATCGACAGGACCCCCCTGTATTTCATGAGAAAATCCACGGTTTCCTGCAGATTTTTCCCCAAAAAAATCGCGCCGCAACAAGGAGATGGCTTTCACCGCGCGCACGGCGGCGCTCGGCGAGCAGGACCAGGTGCTGCAGGAACGCATGGAGGAATTGGCACGACAGAACGGGGAGGCCAGGGCGCCGGGCATGGCGCGTTGTGGTTGTTGGGCCAATGTTGGGCGGAAGTAGCCAAGAATGATTTCACCACCTGGACTTAAGGTGGGGATATATGATAGCTAAGTTGGTTAAATTAATAAACTGCTGGGTGTACTAGAGATATCGAACTAGTTTATGGGGGTCACAAACCAACTGTGTGGCATCCCCTTATGGGTGAAGCTTTGGCATGGAATTCCCTTGGCTGAAAATGGATGGTTTTCAAAATTGGTACCCGCAATAAACCGTCCCGGTCCATTGACTCGGACAGTTCAACAATAAGGGTGAACTGACCTGGATGAGCCATGAACCACTGAGAATTTATCATGGCCCCAACCCATGGGTTGTAGGGGTTCTGCTAGCAGTTCTGAGGATTCCATACTCAAGGGAGACCGTCCTCAGCTATGCTCAGAATTACCTATGAAAGGGGTATATGTTTGTGTACCAAGATGTTTGAGTAAGATACTTTTTCAGTAAGCAGTACTTAACCATGAGGGTTTAGAGTCTATGTATAAGTGGATATGCAATCAGTCCAACTTGGCACCTCCAACTCTATTGGATTCTCATCATTTCCCCTATGTGAAATAGCCATAAATTGGGGTATACCGTATACCCCATTTTCAGACACACCCATTTGATGTTTACAATAGCTTAACAGACTTAACATGATTCGATGTTTTTTGGTTAAACCATGTTAAACCTCAAACGTTTTTATTGGTTGAGGGTCAAATCATGTCAAATCCAGGTCCATAACATCATCGAAGGAAGTTTAGAATAGAAGTCAAACTTCAAACTTCCGATAATATGGACAGATGAAGCAGCAGAGGTGGGAACAGTCAGGGAACAGAAAGAGTGAGAAGAAAGAAGATCAGAGAAGAGCAAGGAAAAAGAAAGAAGATCAGAGAAGAGAAAGAGTCAGTAGAAAGAAGATCAAGGCGCGCCAAAAAGGTAGAAACGCCGCGAAACGTTGTGTTTTTCCAATGTTTTTGGGGCTCCGGAGGGTCGAAGTAGCCTTGCTAATGCGGCGGGTGCGGAGCCATTTGCAGGGATGGGAGATCAAAAAAATCAAGCCGTTGTGGCGCGAAGCAGATTTGGAAGCGAAAATGCCAAAGACACTGCAGCTCCTGGAAGTTGACATGTGGAAAAAGTGGACGCCGTTGTGGCTTGAAGCACATGTCGAAGTCAAAACGTACAAAACACACCATGTTCGGAGTTCTTTGGGAAGTTGAGATGCTGGAAAAGTGCACCCTGTTGTGGCGCGAAGCACATTTCGAAGTCAAAATGTGGAAAACGCACCTTTGTCGGAACACTTTTCAAAGTGGAGCTGGTCAAAAAGTGCATGCCGTTGTGGCGCGATGAACATTTCGAGGTCAAACATGTTAAAACGTCTCGGATTTTCTCGAAGTTGAGATGTTGAAAAAATGCACTCGGCTGTGGCGCGAAGGACGTTTCAATGGTGCGGATTTTGGGTCTACTTTTTGGTGATTTAGTAGATAGATAGGTAGATAGATAGATGGATAGATAGATAATTAGATAGATAGATAGATAGATAGATAGATAGATAGATAGGTAGATAGGTAGATAGGTAGATAGGTAGATAGGTAGATAGGTAGATAGGTAGATAGGTAGATAGGTAGATAGGTAGATAGGTAGATAAGTAGATAAGTAGATAGACAGACAGAGAAGCAGATACACAGATAGACAGACAGAGAGGCAGATACACAGATAGACAGAGAGACAGATAGACAGATAGACCGATAGGCAGATAGGCAGATAGGCAGAGAGACAGACAGACAGACAGACAGACAGACAGACAGACAGGCAGGCAGGCAGGCAGGCAGGCAGACAGAGAGAGAGAGAGAGAGAGATAGAGAGATAGAGAGATAGAGAGATAGAGAGAGAGAGAGACATAGATAGATAGATAGATAGATAGAAAGATAGATATGGCTGTGTCTTTTTTTAACCGGTGCAGTTTTTAGTAAAGGCAGGAAGTTCGATTTGTGCGAATCATACCCCCGAATCATACCCCCGAATCATACCCCAGAAAATCACTATTATGAATGTTTCTTTTGGGATCGTTTGGGATTGCATTGGCCTCACCTGTTAAAATGAACCTGACAAGCTAATTGACCAGTGTTGGCCAGACCCGATGATCCCTGGCTACCTTCACATACCTTCACGGAGTGGCGAATCTTCTCCACGCGCACAGAGTCTCATCATTATCCCTAAGCTGGCTGGCTCTGGGTGGCTGGCTGGCTAGGTGGCTGGCTCAGTTGCTGCTGCTGGTATAGGGCTGGCTAGTTGCAGCTGGCTGGCTGCGTGCCTGGCTGCTTGCTGTGTTGCTGATGAGGCTGATGAGCGGGATGACTCTGTGTGCGGCTGGCTGGCTGGCTGGCTGGCTGGCTGGCAACCAAACCAAAAATCCGTCGAAGAGGAACATAAGCCTAAGCGTAGCTGAACTAAAGGTACATGAGAAGAACATCCAGAAGAGACGCCGGCAGGCCGGCGGATATAAATCATAGATGTGCATTTAAATCTTCACATTCTTCATATTCAGGTCCTGTCCAAGGTCGTCTGGCAGGTCGAGCCATTGCAGCCATTGAGTAGCAATCGTAGTAGGTTCACGGTGGGAAAAAGAGACTCAAGCAACAAAGCTTCCTGAATTCAAAAAAAGATTGGTTTCCGAATCATACCCCGAATCATGCCCGGATCATACCCGAATCATACCTCAAACTTCCCAATTCTGAACCTTGGTACATTTGCAAGATCAGAACTTGTGTTTTGTGAGCTCTTTTCTTTGCAACCATTCGCCACGGGCTAGGCTACGCCTCCTGCTGCTTCTGAGAAAAATCCGACAACAGCACCCTGCAGCTCCTGCAATGGCACCAACATGCCAACTCCAAAGCGCACACACACCACTTGAACTGCAGCACCTTGAAGCAGCACCCTGCAGCGGCACCACCAGCCAGCTCCAGAGCGGACACGCCACTCTAACAGCTGCACCCTGCAGCGTGCAGCAGCGCCCTTCACATAGCACCCTTGCAGCACGAGTTGGGTACAGTACGTACCCTCCTTGCAGCACCTTGAAGCATCACCCCTTGCAGCAGCACCAGCAAGCTAGCTCGACAGCACCCTCAAGGCAGCACCTTCCACCGGCATCCGCTCACCAGCATGCCCGCTCCAAAGCAGGGTTTACAGCACACACCACTCTGACAGCAGCACCTTCAAACATCACCCTCAGGCAGCACCTGCAGCAGCACCCTGAGCGCCACCAGCATCGCTCCAAACTGTACACACCACTCTGACAGCAAGCAACACCCTGCACCAGCACCTTGCAGCGGCACTCCAACGGCACCACGATGCCCGCTCCAAAGCGCGCACACCACTCTGACAGCAGCACGCACAGCGTCAACAGCATGCCAGCTCCAGAGCGCTCCACGTATGGTATAATTACCAACAGTTGAAACATTTTCGGGGTAAGTGTGGGTAAATAACTATACGCAGAGGATGCAGGGAAACACTAAATCAAGGTCCGCGAATCATACCCACGAATCATACCCCGAATCATACCCACGAATCATGTCATACCCCCTAGTCAAACTTCCCGGGCCGCACTCCTCATTTTGAGACATGCCCATAGATAGATAGATAGATAGATAGATAGATAGATAGATAGATAGATAGATAGATAGATAGATAGACTAGTAGATCGATAGATAGATAGACTAGTAGATCGATAGATAGATAGACTAGTAGATCGATAGATAGATAGACTAGTAGATCGATCGATCGATTGATCGATAGATAGATAGATAGATTAGATAGATAGATAGATAGATTAGATAGATGGATGGATGGATGGATTCCATCGGATGGATAGGTAGATGGATGGTTAGATAGATAGATAGACAGGCAGATAGATAGATAGACAGATAGAGGGATAGATAAACAGATAGAGGGATAGATAAATAGATAGATGGATGGATGGATGGATGGATATATCGATAGATAGATAGATAGATAGATAGACAGATAGACCGGACCGATAGACAGATAATCAGAGGGACAGAGAGACAGATAGACAGATAGACAGACAGAAAGACAAATAGACAGACAGGCAGACAGACAGACAGACAGGCAGGCAGGCAGGCAGGCCGGCGGGCAGACAGGCAGGCAGGCAGGCAGGCAGGCAGGCGAGACAGACAGACAGACAGACAGACAGACAGACAGACAGACAGACAGATAGAGAGACAGACAGATAGACAGACAGATAGACAGACAGCTAGACAGATAGATAGACAGTTAGGTTAGACAGAAAGAGAGACAGAAAGACAGATAGACAGATAGACGGATAGACAGATAGACAGATAGACAGATAGACAGGTAGACAGATAGACAGAGAGGCAGAGAGACAAATAGACAGACAGATAGATAGACAGACAGAGAGACAGACAGACAGATAGATAGATAGAGATGGAGAAGGAGATAGCGATGGAGAAGGATATCGATATAGATAGTCAGAGAGATAGATAAAGTTTATCAGTTAAACAGATAGACAGGCAAACAGATAGATAGGTACAGAGCGAGATGGGGAGAGAGAGGGAACGAACGAGAGAGAAAGAGAGAGATAGAGAGACAGAGAGAGAGAGAGAGAGAGATAGAGAGAGAGGGGGAAAGAGAGAGGGAGAGAGAGAGAGAGATTCAGAGCCTCAATCACCTTTCGGTCCATCAGTGGGCTCGCTCTGCCATCAATGCGTCACAACAACTCACCTTTCCTATTGGCTCCCTATCCTGGGAACTTCCGCCACCGCCTTGTGCGGTACTACTGGTATAACATCTTTATGCAACGTTAAATATTTGATGTTTCAACAAACTTAAGGCGTTTTCTTTGTTGGTGAAAATTACGGCCATAGCCATCCCCCTGGCTGCAGGCCATCGAAAACATGCGGGAGACCCTTACCTCAGAGACAGGGAAGCAGCTTGGCGAAACGCACTTGGCACTTTCATTTCCTCCGGTGGTTAATAGCTACTGTTTGTAGTTATATCATGTCAATGGCTAATAATACGTACTACTTAATGTCTATTGGGTCAGGTAGTGTTACAAGTTAATACTAGTGAATTTGGTCAATAATGATTGACTATCCAGTGATTAGAAGGTCCGTAGCCATTTTGGCTCAAGAGCCGTGATTGCGCAACCCTCCCAGAGGTCGGCAGGCACAACAGGTAGTTGAGCTTTCTCCTAGTTTTGCCATGACGCTTCGTGCTGATACAAGATACATACCCTTAGCATCCAAACCCTTAAAATTTGTCGGGTATGAAGTGAAACCCTCGGTTTACCCGTGATCATACTAAAAACCCTAGGTTCATGCCCAAAACCCTGGGTTTCCCAGGAAACCCTTCGAATCCAGGCCATGCTGCCACCGGATCTTGGCTTGACGCAGCTCTGATGGGGTGGAGCAGAGCTTTAGATATTTTTAAGATCAATAATGATCAATATACAAGATCTATGTTGGCTTTCCTTTCACTTTGGGATGGCACTGTAGCACTGCGTGCCCTGGTCTCATTTGATGGACAAAGCCGCAGGTGTATCACCTACCAGTACATCGGAAAGTAGAAGGGCCCTAGAAGGGCCCTGCAGCCTCGAACAGTTTGTCTTGCAGAGCTTTTGTCTCCCACTGACTCTTCAGAGATGCGACCTTCAGAGATGCGAACAGCAAACTATGATGACTCAGGCAGTCAGCACAAACATGTAGTAGCCAGCGCAGTTTGCAATGCAAGACTTGTCGGAGACCGTTGGCTTTCAGGTTGATTGAACATGCCATGTTCAGTTTTTCTACTACGGGTGACCCTGTTGATCTGCAAGTTGACTGGATCGTGACAGGGCTTCGTTTGTTACAACCAACAGCCTGGCCAGTCCCACAGCAGCCACACGCAAGGGATACTATGACCAACCGTGTTGTCAAGCAAAGTGGAAAAACCACTTCTGCATTCTGCAGATGAGCCTTCTGCTACTGTGCGGCTTTCAGGTTGGGTAACGATTCATTCTGAGAGACCTCGCAGATGTTAGCTGCTGTGGAATGAAAGGAGAGGTGATCACGACCATCAGCTCCACAGGTCGATATGGCATTCGATTAGAGAGTGGCCGATGTGTTTCCATTCGGCCACGAAACTTGAAGAAGATGTGCGGAGACACATGTCGAGCTTTCTGCTCATGGCCCAGCTGCCGGTGACTCATCAAACTCTGATCCAGGAATGTTTGCAAATTTGAATCGTGGGGATTGGGGACGTGCTGAAGGCCCAGCAGCAGCCTAAGAAGTTGCTGCCGCAGCAAGCGCCTTTCAAGTTCCAATCTGGCACACGGCGCAGCCAGGCAAATTTCATACTGATTCTTTTTCGAATGTCACAAACTTTTAGGTATCTATGCTTGGTTTGTCACCTGCCATTACCTTGAACCTATTGATTGATCGCTGCATACCGGGCTTTTCTCACATGCCCATCATGGCTCAGCGGCTTCGGCGATTCCTGTTCATTGAGACAGCATTGCAAGATTAGTTCGAGGGGCTTCTGGTCACGGTCACCGGTTGTTCTTTTCTTGATGCAACGCCCAGTGCGTTTCAATGAGCACACAGGCCATGCTAATTTGCAATTCAACATTGGTGTTGGCAGCACGGCAACTGACTGTTTGCATCCCCAAGTTTCACTTGGGACTAAGTGCAAAAGACGCAAAAAAAACAGTGGTTACAAGGGAACTAAGGAGCCAAGGGCATCCATATTCGGTACGAAATGAGGGGCTGAGAAACTACTTAGAGCTTCCAGGTTAGAAAATAAGGAACATGATAACTCTCAACCTTGGGGCTGCCCTAACGTCAGACAAACCCAAACTTATTGGTTCATCAACAATAAATGGGAATTTACAAACAAATGAAACTACCCTTTGGTAATCAAACATGGTTTGGTGAATTTTTCCAATTTACGCAAACTTTGATCGGGGGCCTAGCTAGTAGCCATGTTTTATTGGGGTAACATCGGAATTTCTTAACCACCAAAACGGAGAATAAACCACCAGAAACGGGGATTGCATGATTGATTGATTGATTTCACCGAAAACAACTCTTGCATCTAACCAACGGGAACTGTTACTTAGCAGAAACTAGTGTTCCTTCGCCAAAATCATCCAAATTTAAACATATTTCACCGGCAAGAACTGAAAGACTTCAGCAACAAATACTGATGACTGAAACACAGAGAATCTTTGTGACCATGTGTTGCAACACAGTTTGAAACGAGGGGTTGGTGTGTATTTTTCAACGACCTGTTCCAGGCTTTTGGAGCACATGGGACGTGTCCAAGATGATGTGAAATCCGTCGAGGCGGCCCCTGCTGCCCTTGCTGGTGATGTGGAAACCACTGGTTTCCCTGGGAAACTGATCTACAAATAGTGGGTTTTCCATGGGTTTTCCACATCTATCTTAGGTCACCTTAGGGTGCCTGGTTTCATGTTTCATTTGGAATCATTAGTGATGATTATGGCCTACTGTAGAAAACAAGGCACCCGAGTTTTGGCAACTGCTTGCATTGAAAACGAATTTGACCCTTCCTTGATGGTTTCAAAGTTGTTGGATGTGTCAAGATCTACTAATTATAAAAAAAAATATATATATATATTAAAAAATTGACTTGTTCTTCTGGGATCATCCATCACTTTTATTTATTTGGTCCTCGGGATGGTCGCGACTGTGGATCTGATGGCCTTGGACTTTCATCTTGGACGGCTTGTGAACCAAAAAAATCTCCCCCAATTGGCTGTTGGCTGATGGGACCAGTCGACCCCTTTGAGTGGCATGGAAAAACCATGGAAAACCATGGAAAACCATGGAAAACCATGGAAAAACCATGGAAAACCATGAAAAACCCATGGATTTCCCATAGATTTCCTCAACCAAACTAACCAAAGCCCCCATCCTGGATGCACCATCCCGTGGAGCAGAGGCCGAAACCCTGCGTCGCTGCGAAGATATGGCGGAGGCGCAAAGCGAGGCAAAGATGGAGATGGATAACATGTTCGGCAGCTGGGCGCACAAAAAGCGCGCGGATAGATATACTATTAATACTATGGAAACATCACGTGGGTAGTTGGAATAATGTTAATGATGAATAACTAGGAAACACATATTGTAAAAGTGATGAGCAGTGAGAATGATGCTGGAATTGAATACTTAATTGAATTATATACTGTAAAACATAATTATTTGGTATTGTGTCAATAAATCACGATTGAAAAAATCTTAGATCTTAAGGGAATATTTGAACTTATATAATGGAACATAAAGGTTTCCCAACATCAGAATTGTTGCTTATTAGAGGTCTTATGTTTTCATTGTGTTTCATCTTGCAAATCAGATGGTGTCATAGTTTCTAATTAATACATTCCAAACAATGTAGTTTATAGTACATTGTATGCCAATGTATGACATGTAATTAAATACAACATCAATATACCCTAGGCTAAGTTACCAAAACAAATGTGGGGTTTAACCTATGGTTCCTTTATTTATGGTTCAATGATCTACATTCATGGTGGGTAAACTCATCGCCAAGGTACCTTCCAAGCAAATCTGGGGGAACTCGGCGCCAAGATTGAGGCAGGTGAAGTCGGTGGCCCATCGGCCATTAGAAGTCTTCATAGTGTGGTATAGTGTGGTAAACCCCATCATGAACCTACTATGACTAGAGATAATCTATACCACCCATCTATGGTAATTTTGTATATACACTTCTAACTGAAACTGCATTTCCAAGTAAAAGGTAGCTATGAATCGGATGAAACTGAGTCGAAAACGCGCGCCACTTGCGATTCCTCGGTTCATGGGGTCCCTCAAAGCCTGTGATTGCCCCATTGAATACCAAGAACTTGGAGGATTTAGGGGGGTCTCCCATTTTTTTCATCATAATTTCATTCCATTTCACTGTACCAATGGTCAGTGTCAACATTTCGCAACCATCCCAACATGTTCCAACTCAGCAGGATGTGGCCATATCCCAGTCCAAGATCCATACCGAGCTGAAGGAGGGGCCTGGGTCTGGCTGGCCATGGCCTGAAAACCCATAGAAGCACTATGAAGGACTCATCTTAGGCAAGGATTCACAAACTCTCAAGGTCACTTCAAGGATTAGCAAACATGTTGTTTTTTTGCCTGTTTCTGTGGTACTCTGGAAACAGCCTCCACTCGTGGTTGCTTGATGTTGCTTGGAGAATATTGCCAGTACAAAGGATTTGGCACAGCGGGTCAACAAGAGTTCCTATGAAGCAACCAGTGAAAAAACTCCTTGCCATGCTTGGAGCCAGACTTACACCATGAAAGAACTTTCCTTATCTTTCCTTGTTCATTCATTTTATTTTCCACATACTGTATCATATAATAATATATATATATACATATATATATGTACATACATATATATATATTACATAATTTATACATTTCATTTTCTTGACAGCTTCACTTTTGCAGCCATCCCCCTCTCACAGTTCATACGTGAGACGCGGTAGTGCCGGCCGGTTTCTCCTGATACCGCGGGGATGGAACAGGCCGGCGGTGGTACATTGTGACCATTGTGACACATGGATCGTGTAAAGATACCCTCTGGTAAACTAACATAGCTATTGAAAATGGCCATTTATAGTGGATTTACCCATTAAGAATGGTGATTTTCCATAGCTATGTGAATTTACCAGAGGGTACAACCAAGTTATTTAAGCTAATGGAGAGTAGTATTCGAGACATCTAAAATTGATGACTTGGAGCTATATACCAAATATTGACAGTGGCCCATATAGGAATATAGGATCATGTGGACATATGTTATGATATACTTGAAAACATTTATACAGATGATACTAGTTTGCTAGTTGACTGGTGGTTGCCTTGGTTCTAAAGTTTAGAAACGCGCCAGCGCGTTTCTTACAGGGGCATCATTCTTCCATATTCTTCCGATCTGACGGATTTGGATGGCCATGGGAATTCTACAGGACTTCCCCGGAAGATTGGGGTGTACATATCCTATGGTTTCCGTAAAAATGTTACTAAACATCAATCCATTACTGTAACCATCAAATATCCACATCAAATAGTTGGATGCAAAATATCCATATCATGTTTTCCGTACATGTTCACTTTTGGCACCTTACAGCAATTATAGTGAGGTTTCTTCAATCCACCTTCCCTTTGCCTTTAATGGGACATCATATTTTTTTGTGATGGATGATATCAGACATTATGATCTGACCATTCTGTGGCACCAGGTGGGTTTGGAGGTGGAGACCATTAAGATTTCAAAGGATGCGATGCCAGAAGACAAGGCTCCGGAGTGCCCGGCTGCCCCTTTCGAAGGTTGATGGAGGGGACAGACAAGCGATAAATGCTGATAAATGATGATACATGATATTACTAAACCGGCCCCTGTATAATTTTTTCGCCAGAGGCTAATGGTGCCGGAATGACGCATGAGGTACCTGGGTTTGTCCACAAATTCGGCTTTGGACCCTGAAATCCATCGTGAAAAATGAAGGTACACTGACAGATGTAGAACAAGCATTTTTCAAAGATCCTTTGGAACAGTCTTGTCTGAGATTTAGGCCTGAAAGACAGACCTGGTATATCCCCAAATGCTCTACGATGCTGGAATATTTGCAAACAGATCCTGCCAAATGTTGGGATAGACAGCATTTGTTCGTGTTGATCCTATTCAACATGTGTTTCCATCGCCAAGGATATCGATGTATGGTGATTATATGAGCTCTGGAGCTATTTCATTTTAAAATAACGAATAGCTCTATACCTTCTTAACAGCTATTTATTTCTATTCTATTATCTCTATTCCAATAGCTCTATACCTTCCAGAATCCTTCTAGTAGAACATAGATATATGGAAAATCCACGGCAAGCATGGGCAGGTTGAGAGCGACGCCACGACGGATGAGGGCAAACAGTCTCCAGAGCAGGCACAGTTTCGACGTATCTGTTCACATCCAACATAGAAGGACGAGCTGGGGAGGGTCCCCTCCAAGTCTCAGTACCCCCTGGTAAACTAACATAGCTATTGAAAATCACCATTTTTAATGGGTAAATTGACTATAGGCCATTTTCAATAATTAGCTATGCTTGTTTACCAGAGGGTAATCATTATTTTTCAATCGTAAAGCGGGAATGAATTGTCATTGGGATCGGAGGAAGAGGTGCTTCTGGGACTGTCCACTTGGAAGATGACGCCACCGAAATGAAAACCATATGTTATATTCAGGGTTTAACTAAAGTGTGCTTTTTTTTTGATTGTATATTTTAAACCAGTGTAGGGGGAGCGGTTTGGTTTATGGGAATGTGATGCAAAGATGTGCAAAGCATATTTGACGGTGGTTGTGTTAGATTGTAGTCATTTTAAAGGGATGGCAGGGTCTTAACGGAGCTCGTTGGTAGCAATGTCCGGGAATGCAGATGAATACCCCGTCATCACCTTTTTCGACGTATTCATATTGTTAGAAACTCAAAAAGGAACTACCTTAGGCGCTGCTAGGAAAACCCAAGTCAAGTTCCCGGAAAGACGGACTGCCGAATCCATTGCTTTTTTTTGTGTGTGTTATCAGACAAACCCCTTCTGAAATGTTGTGAATCATCCCTTCACACTATGATTCACGGCCTTTTTTTGATGAGACTCCCCAGCTGACACATTCATGACTATATAAACCAGGGGTGTCTATTGTTTTGTTGTAGGGAGAAAGGATTAATAAATTAAATCTATTGGGTATGATAATTATGGGCCATGGTATGGGTCATATTTATTCATTAAGACATGGACTTACCGACAATTGAGCAACTCTTCAGTAGAAGAACAGTTCCTTTAGGATTCTAATATATTGACAGATTTTGTAGCTACGTGAATGCTTGTAGCAGTAGATGCAACTTTTGGGTAGGTCCCACTTCCCACTGGCATTTTCAAGAAATTACATGTACCGTCATGTACCTACCATGGAGGTGCTATGCCATATAAGGCCATATTAATTGGGATGACATTCGTATCCGAGCATACCCTTACATGATCTTGCATGGACTTTACATGGACCTCACACCTGGCTACCCAGTTGGATTTGTCTGAAAATAAACTACCCCAAATTTGATGGTAATCATCACTCCCCATTAACATGGCTTCGGGGGTACCCTCCATCATCCTCCATCTGGGTCGACTTCAGCTGGATTTTCCCGCGACCTCCTGTCAGGGGAAACTGGTGTTTGCGACCGGTGAGCGCGGTCTTCCGTCCTTGAATCGTGGCTACCGAACCCCTGACCCATCGCTGAGCCGTCTTCCGAAGTGCCCCTTGGCGACCGAACGCTGCGTGATGGGTTAAGTCATTATAGCAACCCCTAAAAGATAAAAAAGTAAAATCCTACTAAAATAGTAGTAACACGTAGATACATGCAGTGTATATACATATATATACACATTACTTTTCTATCTCTTTTTAGGGTCACTATAAACTTCAGATTCATAGGGTTTGATTTCTGAGCACTGCAGAGAGGTCTGCCGGGATGCCTTCATCAGAGATGCATGGCCAGCGCTCTTAGGTTGGTCAATCTCCCATGAATTTTACCCTCTGGATTTTTAACGTAGCTATTGAAAATGGCCATTTATAGTGAGTTTTCCCATTAAAAATGGTGATTTTCCATAGTTATGTTAAATTACCAGAGGGTAGATGCCCAAAAGTTGGAAACCTTGGAATTTTGAGGTAAATATCATCATTTGGAAATTATCGTCGGAAATATATAGATGATTTTATAATATTTTATAGAACTATCAATGATGAACATCAATATCCTGGAAACGCAAATTTCGGTGTCCCAAATTGGGAACCGTGGAACCCTCGAAAAAGGCGTCACAACGGTCGCGCCCTCCCAATTCATGGCCGACCGTTTGAGGTAGGTCATTGATGTTTTCTCCAGATAGACTTATGATTTTGAATACCACCGTCACATCCGAAGTTCTAGGTGGAACCCTAAAATGGAGATGTTCAGTAACTCATTTTCCAATCCTATTTGTGTTGGGTTTTCTGGTGTAATTCAGTTTTCAGAGGGTCTGGATTGGATGGGAACTTCCGCCAGAGACGGCGACCAATGATAAGAATGAAAGTTGGGTAAATGATAGTGATGGTTGGTCATCATCCCCACATACATGCTCCATATATATGGTTTTGTCATGGTCTGTCTGAATATGTTGGGGAAGACTCCATGGCATTCGATTGTCTTTCCCATGTTTTTCCCATCATTTTCCCGGGCCACAACATCCGGGGGTATCCTTCAGCGATTCTCAGGTGGAGCACTAGAACTCATGGTTGCTGT